TACATTTTCAAAATAGGCATCATCATATTTTTGACGGTCTGCTAATTGCTCGTCTATATCGGTACACAATACATCGATCCTTTCTTGTATAGTATCTAAAATATTGTATATAGACCCTACAGCTTCGGTTCTTAGTTGTAAATCTAATATTTGAGAGGCAGATAATTTTTCTACGTTAATTTCTCTAAATTTCTTTACAAAATTGCAGTACATAGTAAGTTTTCCTCTATAGGATTTTCGCTTCTTTTTTAACTCCTTTAGTTCTTGACTCTCTAAAGGAGTTGGCTTGTCGTTAGCCTCATCACTAGACATTTTTACTAGTAAATTAATGGGAATACTAAACCAGAAAAAATACGGAAAGGAAGGAATAAGAAAGGATGCTCACTTTTCTCTGTTTCCTCTTGTCCGCTGGCTTCGTATTCGCCTTGGTTGGTTGGTTGGCCGGCACACCACGTGCCGCCACGTGCCACGTGCCACTCGAACGACACGCGCAGTTGAAGGAATTGATACACAGCGACGCCGAATTGCAGTCCTGTGAGGTAGATCGCAGATCTTCGCTTGTAAAAGAAGAAAGGAAAGGTCTCACCAGGCGATTGAAGTCTTGTGGTACCCGATTTTTTTTTCTTCAACGATGCACGGCACTCGGTTCCCGTGCTCGTTTTTTGTGTCCAGGGCAGCCTCGAAGCTTTGTAGCCTCGCGCCTCGCGGCCTCGCGCCTCGCGGCCACGCGCCTCGCACGTTGCTTCACCACCGCGCCACGTGCCACGCGCCACGTTGTCGGAGTTGCTTGGGCGGGCGGGCGATTAGCCAGCCGTTCAACGATGTCCGCCCTACGTCGCTCTTCTCCTTGTGGATATCTGCTTGGCCTCTGCGTTTTCTTTTTTCTTTTTTTGCCCTTCTTGCAGTAGGGGTCACCATAAAATATGTTACAGCAAAGACTGGTCTCTTGGAATATATGTTTTTTGTTGTGCAATCGATCAAAATGGGCGAGCCTTGACAAGGCTCTTCATATTTATAGTCTCATACAGCGCCCTCAGCGGTATTACAATGGAACTAATTGCTTAGGTTCTATAACTAACACATTCTGTGATCGATACAAATGGTTAGGTTACTTCCTAGTTACAGTACGGGCGATCTAGATGTCGCTATTTTGTTTTACATGGTATGAGATAGATGGCGCTGTCTCATCTGAACAACCTTACACCCACTTACGGCCTGACCGAGACTTGGGGCGATCTTAGAGTCGGAAACAGGTACGTACTATATTTTTCTAGCATTCTCCCATATAGTTTAGTATGATAGGACATTCTTCCATGTGGCCACTTGGGCCCGACCTGCGGCTGCTCGTTGAATCTTCCGCTCATGGGCCGCGAGAAATTGGACTTTGGCAGGGGCAGCTGTAGGCCGTAACAATTACTATTTTTGTATTTGATCAACTGGAGCTAATTAATCATGTCGAGGCAGAGATAACAAAATTCTGACAGAAATATGGAAATATAGTTTATTGATGTTAAAGGAGTCTTATCTCATATTTCTTATTATTGAAAATGTCCTTTTAATTCCTAACAATATCACAAATGGACATGTTTATTTGGCTTTATAGTATTTGAAATGTAGACCAATACATATATAAACATATTCTCCACAAGCTATTTAGAATGAAATAAATATAGAAAAAATAATATAATTATAACAATTAATATTTAATATAGGCACTATTACAATAGTCATTAACCTTTTCAGGTCGATCGTTGAGAACATATCTGTATGACGTGCAGGCTAAAAGCTTGCAGAGCTGCCCTAGGCAGAGACAAAAAAGAGTTTGGATATTGAAGACAACAGTCTTATATTATATCATTGTGATTCCTGCCAATATCATAAATGGACATGTTATCATCAACTTATTTAGAAAAAATCTTTTGAAAGGATGATCAACAATAACAAATACAATTAAATTATACATGTGTTTCATTATACTTTCATAAACAATTTCTGTGTGTATGTACTTTAATAAAAATTACACTACCTAGTCATTTTGGCTTTCATGGTGTTTGAGGTATGATAACTAATCAGTTAATATATTTTCAAACAAAGTTTTGATACCGTGCCTGTCTATCTGTTCTACTATTAATAGACTACTTTGTTATAACTGTACATATTATCTCCGACTCATCTTGGCTTTAACCATATTACTTAAATGGTATTTGGGATGTATACTCACAATCAATACATGTAAAAATAGTATCCATACCACATTTGTGCACAGACAGGCACTATATTATTTTGCCGGAACTACTAAAACTTAAAGTACCTTTAAATGCTGAATGTAACTACAAATTTGTTTTATACTATTGTTACGAGCTTGGGGTTCGAGGCAATTAAAATCTGCTGAGTGAATTACCAAAAATCGACACTTTAATTACAGAGCACTAATTACAACTTAACCACACTAATAATAAAACAAAATTGTATTACTGATCACTTTAGTTCGCAGTTGTATCGCTTCGAAGTATTCGCTTATATCGCCAGTTCAATACTGACTCGGTCGTGGTTTATACCGGCCTTATATAGGGCCTCAGATAGTTTCCAGAACCTTCTACTGTAGAAAGATCTAGAATGTTCGAGTACATATCGGTCCCGAAATGTCTAGAAGGATCTTCACTCTCCTAGTTCTGCTACTCGATACTAGAGGGCGCTAGTGGTAATTAGTGTCGCCATGTACAAGACATTAATAGTGGCGCGCAACACTATTATTTATTGAATAGTGCACTATTTTAACTTATAATACCGGTGAAAACTAATAGACGATCGCTTTTAGTTTGTCTTTAGGTATAGTATAGTAAGATACATATTTTATTTGCTAATTTCTCAGTATTCCTGTTAGATACGGTAAAATAATATTACTATTGTAATCTATAAATTATAATAAATAAATCGACATGCGTTTCATTAAGTTTACCTAAAAGTTTTGGTGGGCCCATTCTCCATACAAAAAGAAACATACTTGACCAAGGTAAGATATTATTGTTATTTTTATAATCACAAATTTTTATTACAATATTTTGTTTCGCTAAAAGCACTCAGGATTTATATATAAATATACTTATACGTATTGGACTTTATAGAACTGAAGGTGTGTCGGTATCTGCTACTGGAACTCCTCGATGAGGAGAACTAGATGTGCTGAGTTTGGGCTCGTTTTGTTAGTTATAATGAAACCTTACCTCCGGACTTGATAGAGTGACTTGAAAGTGTACTTTAATGACTGCTACTGGAACTCCGTGACGAGAAGACCTAGATGTGCAGAGTTTGGGCTCGTTTTGTTAGTTATGATGAGACCTTGCCTCCGGGTTTGATAGAGTGACTTGAAAGTGTACTTTGATGACTGCCACAGGAACTCCTCGACGAGGAGAACTAGATGTGCCGAGTTTGGCCCCGTTTTGTTAGTTATGATGAGACCTTACCTCCGGCCTTGATAGAGTGACTTGGAAGTGTACTTTGATGACCGCTACTGGAACTCCTCGACGAGGAGTACTAGATGTGCCGAGCTTAGCCGAGTTTTGTTAGTTATAGAATATAATAGATATAGAATAGAATAGACCTTACCTCCGGACTTGACGGACTGACTTCAAGGTGTACTTCGTTGACTGCTATTGGAACTCATTGACGAATAGAACTACAATTTACATTTCTTTATTTTTTTAATTTTTTCACTATCATTGGGCATTGTGAGTCGTGCACTTTTCGATTTTCCAAACGTTTTTTAAATTGAAGTTTGACATAAAGATATCAGAAAATTGGAAGTATAGTTATAAGGTTGAAAACTTGTGTTTATTTAAACTACTTAAAATCATTAATTATTATCATGTTATACGTAATTTATTTTTAATGCGCTTAAGGCTTAAGCCATGCACAATTGGATTTACCAATAGTTTTCTATTTTTCATATTTTGTAGAAAAAATAACACTGATATTACATTTTGTTGGTTTTTTTTCTGTAATAAATTTTATTTAAATGTATATAATTTTGAAAAAAGGTAAAAACAATTTGCTTAGTTTTAGTTTTTATTCTTCTTTCTTAAAAGCAATGAACCTTAAAGTTATATGATAAGCGAATTATAAATTAAAGCTGTTCTTTGCAATGTTTAAATAAATTAGTGTTTTGATTTATAAATTTGCTAAAGTAGTTTTTTTTTAATTATTTTCTGTCCAAACTAACGACCAAGGCCGCCCGCCCACTTGGACTGCGCCCACCGTTGTGTTAGGTAAACAAGAAGATCACCAGGTGAGCGACCCCGACGGAAACCGTACTGGCGATCACAAATCAGCTGGTGCTCCTCAAGATATCGCATGAGGCAATATTCGATTTCATTATTGTCGAGAACGAGAAGGTAATGATGATAAACCTGTAGTTGGACGGATCAGAGCGATTACCTTTTTGAGGGATCGGGTGCACAAAAGCTGTCTTTCATGAATTCTGGACTAGCCCAGAGAGTGCGAGTACCGATAAAGACGCTTTAGAACAGGTGCCTGGAGCTCTGGAGCACACGTCCTCAGCACAATTGGAGGGGTTACGTCAGGCCCAATTGACTTTTGGATGTCTAGGGAGAAGATGAGTAAGCACTCACTGTGTACTGAGGACTGTGAATCGCACATCAGGCATGGAGCACTTAGATCGCGGGTTGGGTTGTTCCCGCTGTCTCGAGAGTAGAGTTGGACGCAAAAAGTCTTTCCATTACCAGGAGCGCTGGTACCCTTCTGGAGTATTCTCTTGTTTTAAAATCCGGTACCATATTTTGAAGGGGTACGTATAAGCCACCTGCACTTACCAGACGAAATGCAGTAAAGCTATTTTACGCTGGTATTGTGTGAGATCGTGTTACAACTCGTGGTGTAACAATAGAAGCTGCCGCGTGACTCTACCACTGTTAAACTACCACTGTTCCCATGGTATCGTATAATGGTATAATGTGCAATGTGATTTTGTTCGTATGGTGCAGGCACGTCGTCGGTGCTGGTGCGGTCGCTGGGGCGCATGGGGCCGGGAAGTGCGCGGCTGGAGTCGCTGCAGCTGGCGCGCGGCGGCATGCTGCAGCGCGGCAGCGTGCGCCTGCTGCTGGACGACGTGCCCGTGCCCGCGCCGCTGCTCGCAGTGCGTATATCTGTGTTACTGTGTCACTGTGCCACACCACACCCCACCCGCGCTGCAGTCGCTGCAGCTGGCGCGCGGCGGCATGCTGCAGCGCGGCAGCGTGCGCCTGCTGCTGGACGACGTGCCCGTGCCCGCGCCGCTGCTCGCAGTGCGTATATCTGTGTTACTGTGTCACTGTGCCACACCACACCCCACCCGCGCTGCAGTCGCTGCAGCTGGCGCGCGGCGGCATGCTGCAGCGCGGCAGCGTGCGCCTGCTGCTGGACGACGTGCCCGTGCCCGCGCCGCTGCTCGCAGTGCGTATATCTGTGTTACTGTGTCACTGTGCCACACCACACCCCACCCGCGCTGCAGTCGCTGCAGCTGGCGCGCGGCGGCATGCTGCAGCGCGGCAGCGTGCGCCTGCTGCTGGACGACGTGCCCGTGCCCGCGCCGCTGCTCGCAGTGCGTATATCTGTGTTACTGTGTCACTGTGCCACACCACACCCCACCCGCGCTGCAGTCGCTGCAGCTGGCGCGCGGCGGCATGCTGCAGCGCGGCAGCGTGCGCCTGCTGCTGGACGACGTGCCCGTGCCCGCGCCGCTGCTCGCAGTGCGTATATCTGTGTTACTGTGTCACTGTGCCACACCACACCCCACCCGCGCTGCAGTCGCTGCAGCTGGCGCGCGGCGGCATGCTGCAGCGCGGCAGCGTGCGCCTGCTGCTGGACGACGTGCCCGTGCCCGCGCCGCTGCTCGCAGTGCGTATATCTGTGTTACTGTGTCACTGTGCCACACCACACCCCACCCGCGCTGCAGTCGCTGCAGCTGGCGCGCGGCGGCATGCTGCAGCGCGGCAGCGTGCGCCTGCTGCTGGACGACGTGCCCGTGCCCGCGCCGCTGCTCGCAGTGCGTATATCTGTGTTACTGTGTCACTGTGCCACACCACACCCCACCCGCGCTGCAGTCGCTGCAGCTGGCGCGCGGCGGCATGCTGCAGCGCGGCAGCGTGCGCCTGCTGCTGGACGACGTGCCCGTGCCCGCGCCGCTGCTCGCAGTGCGTATATCTGTGTTACTGTGTCACTGTGCCACACCACACCCCACCCGCGCTGCAGTCGCTGCAGCTGGCGCGCGGCGGCATGCTGCAGCGCGGCAGCGTGCGCCTGCTGCTGGACGACGTGCCCGTGCCCGCGCCGCTGCTCGCAGTGCGTATATCTGTGTTACTGTGTCACTGTGCCACACCACACCCCACCCGCGCTGCAGTCGCTGCAGCTGGCGCGCGGCGGCATGCTGCAGCGCGGCAGCGTGCGCCTGCTGCTGGACGACGTGCCCGTGCCCGCGCCGCTGCTCGCAGTGCGTATATCTGTGTTACTGTGTCACTGTGCCACACCACACCCCACCCGCGCTGCAGTCGCTGCAGCTGGCGCGCGGCGGCATGCTGCAGCGCGGCAGCGTGCGCCTGCTGCTGGACGACGTGCCCGTGCCCGCGCCGCTGCTCGCAGTGCGTATATCTGTGTTACTGTGTCACTGTGCCACACCACACCCCACCCGCGCTGCAGTCGCTGCAGCTGGCGCGCGGCGGCATGCTGCAGCGCGGCAGCGTGCGCCTGCTGCTGGACGACGTGCCCGTGCCCGCGCCGCTGCTCGCAGTGCGTATATCTGTGTTACTGTGTCACTGTGCCACACCACACCCCATGCACACTGCAGTCGCCGCAGCACTGCACTGCAATCCTTGAAAAAACGACTAACACAACACAGGAGGAACTAAAATCTAGACAATCTTAAAATGATGCTACTGACAACAATACTTACAGTACTTAATGAATGTGGTTGTTTTTACTAAACAGAATAATTTGTGCCTTAAAACAGATTGAGTTGTGGACGAAGGGACTGGAGTCGCTTGCGGGCGGTGAGGCAACGGTAGATGAGGGTGAGGAGGGGGACGAAGAGGAGGGCAGCGAGGCGGAGGACATGGCTGCCGGGCTGGCGCTCACCGTGGCCGGTGCGCGACTTCCCGCAATCACGCTATTCAACGGACAGGTCACTCAGCCTTTGTTGCTTCGTTATATTTATATAGCTTTATGTATATTCTCTGAGCCGTGTAGTGGCGGTTAGGAATATCCACTACCCCATATCTTACCGTGGGTGTCGTAAGAGGCCACAGTGGGAAACAGGCAGGAGATGGGCAGCAGCATCTTCCCGATAACAGCAAGATTACAATAAAAAAATTCCGCTCGCCAAGCGTGGCAATAGTGCAAACATCCTCCCATGATATGAAAGTTACGAAGAGACGACCCCTAGTCCACGGCGGCCATGCTATTCCTGGCCACGGTGGCAACCAAGGGCAAGGGGTGCTAAGAATCTCCGGTGGAGGTTCGGTTGCCACCTAGGCGACTCGACCTGGCGACATACAACACACGCACCTTGAGGACTAACGAGAAGATCCTGGAGCTGGAAGAAGAGATAGACAAGTTACGCTGGCATAGTAGAGGATTATACGAGGTCCGAAGAGAGGGGGAGGACACGGTAATCCTCGAATCCGACAACTTGTTCTATATAATTAATAGAATTAGGCGTTACTTTGCGGAAATCCATTATATTAAAGTTGGTAAAAAGTTAACACGCATACATCCGCTCGATAAAATAAAATGATGTGTCTTACCTAGTTTGAGGAGCATCTCCCGCCCTCCCTCAATTACGTGCACTATCCTCGTCACCACTAATCCCAGCACCACTACTCCCAACACCACTACACTAGGAAAGGCACCACTGACTACAATATGACACGTGTACATAGGGATCGATGGAAAAACACTCAAAATTCTCGAATCATACTCAAGTAATAAGTATAAAGTTGTTAAAACTGGAGTACTTTAAAGTTAATCTTAAAAGTTGACTGTTGTGTGCCGCAGCGATCTATATTAGAACCGTTGTTGTTCATTATATATGTGAATAACATTACAATAGGTCTCATCCGACATTATTACACTTGAAGCGGATGACACCAGTCTATTATATTATGGTAATACAACACTATGCACTATGCTCAATGACCTCAATAGTGTTTCCCAACGGATAGGTCTTAAGATGAACATGGACAAAACAAAGATCATGTTTAATGTCCATGTCACACCTATGCCGGTAGTTGTTGGGAACACTAAGCTCGAAGTTGTTGACGAGTATGTTTACCTGGGACAAATAGTCCGACTAGGTAAGTCCAACTTCGACCGAGAGGTCAATCGACGGATTCAACTCGGTTGGGCAGCGTTCGGGAAATTACGGCACATCTCGTCAGGTATACCTCAAAACTTGAAAACGAGACTGTACACCCAGTGCGTGTTGCCAGTGATGACATATGGAACTGAGACGTGGTCCTTCACTGTTGGCCGGATTAGGAAGCTCAAGGTCGCTCAGCGAGCTATGGAGAGGGCTATGCTCGGAGTTTCTCTGCGTGATAAACTCAGAAATGAGGATATCCGCAGTAGAACCAGAGTGACCGACATAGCCCAACGGATTAGTAAGCTGAAGTGGCAATGGGCCGGCCATATAGCTCGAAGAACCGACAACCGATAGGGAAGAAAGGTTCTCGAGTGGCAGCCTCGTACCGGCAGGCGAAGTGTAGGGCGTCCCCCCACTAGATGGAGTGACGACCTGGTAAGATATGCAGGAAGTCGATGGATGCAGGTGGCTCAGGACCGTGCTTTGTGGCATTCTTTGGGGCAGGCCTATGTTCAGCAGTGGACTTGTGAAGGGCTGTAATGATGATGATGATGAATACAACAGCGTCTGTTATAGCTGCAAAATAATTGCTAACACTTATCACTTCAAAAACATGCTACATGATTTTTTTCTCTAATTATAGCTAATGGATCCATACAAAAGTGTAACCAAGAATAATATAAGAGCTTAAAAAAGTCTTTAACAACACGTATTGATAATGAGCTGTGATGATCCTAATAATTATTTTATTTTATTATCGTGGTGATCCGGATGAGGATAAAGTTATTAAATTATTGCATTGACATCAATCCTTGATTACATGAACAGTGTCAATTTTCAATTCAATATTCGTCTAAAAGTTGGTGAAAAATAACATTAAAAGATTCCGTTACGTAGATAAGATACACGCGAAGCTATATACAGGGTGTTTTTGGAACGCTCCCGAAAACTAAGACAGGCGACAGCACCAAGTATACCTTTGATCATGGGTCACAAATAAATTTGATCCTGATGAAAAAAAAATCATATTTTTTACAACGTTTTATTAGCTTTGTTCACGCGCCATCATGTTAGTACAGCTAAATGAAACGATAATTTCATAAAAAAAAATCATGAAAATACTGAAACATAAAACCAGCAGTGGAAACTGAATTGATATCACCTGACTAATGGAGGTTAATGTACGAGCGAACGGTGAAAAAGGAACGATGGCCTTGAACTTGGGCACTGAGCGATTTATCACATATTGGTACGAAGGGGGCGCGACGGGGGAACAATCCGCCAGTATTACTGTGCCTGCATGCTATTGGTTCCCGCGCTTTGTTCGCTCCAAAAATACAGTCGCATACACAGCTTACTTTGTGACTCGCGACGATGTTTTAAAAAGGAAGGAAATAAAAATTATTTATATCTATTGTTTTATGACTGAACTAGTGAACGAAAAGGTAAATATGATAGGAGAAGGTGAATGGGGAAAATTGTGCAATAAAGTTAAAAGTGTTGAGGAAGAATACCGAAAAACTTACCATGTGATCGACCTGATGACGGAAGCCCAAGCGAAGATGAAAGTGATGATGAAGTAGCATCCAGTAACACCAACACACCATCAACATCTGGCTTCCATGTGACCCAAGACGACATAATGGACGGCGTGTCACGTTTAGCTTAAGTTTTCTTGTTACAAACTACTTTATATTTTACGATAGAAATAACAAATAATGCTCAAGTAAACATTATCCATTTTTAATTCCAACCTTTTCCAAAGTTCTAAGTAGCTAGTAAAGCACCTATTATGATTCTACAATAAAACAATTAATTACTATAATATTATAAAACAATATCCCAATACCATGTAGTACTTTAGAACGCGACTGTAACTACACTGTCGACCTGTATCTAGCTCGGTGCGAAACAATGCTGCCGTCATAAGAAAAAAGGGCGCATCTAACAATTTTTGAATAAATGAGTTAAATATACCATTCGACTCATGATAAAAAGGCGCATCTACTAAATTTTTTAATATTAAAAAATATCAATATTTTAGAAAATATTGTAAGAATTTTAGACGTAACTGTTTATCACAGATGACATTTTTTTAGTAGAAAAGACTTATACAAATTATGGAGTGTAGAGTACAAGGAGAACCATCTTATAAGGGGCGAAAGTTGAAAAAGTGTCCTACTATTTACTGAAAATAGAGGTTCCAAAACCTACCACAATAGCGCTGGGGTTTGAAAAACTACGATATGAAGATAGCTGTTATGGACGGAGTGAAGTCAGCTGAATTCAAATATTTAAAAAATTTCATGACTAGAGTAGTTAGTAAAATGCCAGTACACAAAATTTCAACTATTTACGTAGTACAAAACCAAGCGGATTAATCGGTCCTTGTTTATTTCTCCATCTTACTCTAATTACTTTTGGCGCTTTTTTTAATTTATCCTATACTACTGCAGCGCCACCCTTATTCGACACGTTTTTAGGGACACTTTTCATAGTATAGAGATGGTCCTTCTTCTCACTACACTCCAAAATACAAATTCGACATAAAAGAAAAGACTTATTTAACCAGTTGCTACGTCATCTTTAACAATATTTGCATCGATTACTTAAATTTCGATTATTCTTGTCTTATTATTCTATATCTTATTATTAAGAGCTTATATCTTATTATTAAGAGCTGGTGTTTCACATGTCGTCCCATATAAATTTGATCGAGGTCAGACCAATAGTTTTTGAGTTATCCTTAATTATTTATATTGAAGTCGGTTGTAAAAATTTTTAATTTTTAATTATTATCGTAGTAAGTCTGGAATGATATCCCCTTTAAAATCATAACTCAAGAGTTGCGGGTTGTTATTTTATGTGTCTCACTACCAATGCTTTTCTAATATTTACTAATAATAAAAAAGTAGTAAATTACTATTAGCGTCCTTTCAAAAAAAATTCATCTATTTATTTTTTATTTCGATTTTACGTTTTTGTTAGTTGCGTCCTTCTTTATTATGACGGCAGAATGCCTAACCCTGTCGCCTCACGCTTGTGACGCAGTAGGTTTCAGCCTTGGCGGGGTTCGTTCGTTTTAGTTTTTGAGACAGTTCCGTGTTGATTTTGTACACGCGTGAATTAAGATAATGAACCCAACTTCAATAAAAAATATATTTATTTATTTTGACAGAGTTACAGTAAGAAGTTTATTACTACCATGAAGCAAATATAAAGAGGAGACGGCATATTCAACTGTGCACTGTGATTCTAAGTAGGTCCTGACGTCATCATAGTGGGCGTGGCTTTAGTTAGTATACTGTCAGCACTCGTACTGTGCGCTTATGTGATAAAAATCGCAAATCGGTGTATTTTCGTAGTATTAAGAGGATAAGGATGAAGTGTTGTATTTTATCGTGTAAAAATTACTCAGATAGACGCTCTGATGCTATGGATAGCATCAAATTTCATTTGTAAGTAATTTTACACCTAATTTATTAAAATAGTTCTAGAAAAATCTCTTTCCGTCGGCTTTTAAATATAATTAAATATATTTGACACTAGATGGCGACACTTTGTGTCATGTGAACTAAAAATATAACGTTATAAAGGTACGTAGAGCTCAGTATTAATAAAATAATCATACAAAGGTGCTGAAATTTGTTTTGCATTCAGACATAAAGAAATTTTAATCGCCAAAATATTATTTTATAGTTTATAATCATTTTGTGAACATACCGCCATCTACCGTCTAGGTAGCTAAACTACATTGCAACATCGATATGGAACGATTCGAGTAGTTTTATTATTTATCGGTAGATGTAGATGGTGTAAAT